CTTATTTGTACCTTCCTCAACAAACCTTCATTGAGATTCAAGGATCTATGAAAGATATTTTGAAGTAACATCATGACAAAGTATTTCATGATTCATTATGCCCCAAGTTGTCAAATTTAGCTCAAAAGTGCAAGGGTTGACTAAAGAAGTTTGACTCAATTGGATAAGTCTTTGATTTCAATGATCACAAGTGCATATCTCCTTCAATTCTCAAGATTTGGAAGTGGTTTTGGTTTAAATGTTTTATCCTTAACATCCTCAACAACTTATAATCATATGACAAAGGTATTTGTGCAAAAAGGTTGATCAAAATTGCAAAGATTTCCCAAGGCATTTTGTTGCTCTAAGAGCTAGGGTTTTGAACTTCAAAGGGGTATATCTTGCTCATATTTTGGTATTTTTGAGTGATTCCAAAGCATCCTTCTCTTCAAAGGGTTATTAACAAATCACTTTTTCTATAATCTGGAATTCATATGTATATAGTCGTTACTCTGTCCAATTTTTGTGAAGACTTAATACATTTGAAGTTTGATACTCTCAAGAGGTTTAATATCCTTTCTTGATTTCAATCCAAAGAATGAGAATTCTACCTTGACTCATAATGTCAAGTGTTGGCTTCTTGTTGGTTAGATGGTTCTTTTCCCTAGCTTTTACCTTATGCTTTAGGATAGTCCCTTCATCTCCTCCCATCTTCTTCAATTTCAAAAATCTTCTCCCTCCTTTTGAAAATCCTTCTTGTTTCTAAACTTAAACCACTTTCATAATAAACTTAGACTTAGGTCCATGCATTTTCAATTTTTTTTCATAAATAGACTTTAATCAACTTAATAATACCTTGACATTTTTGTGAGAAGACTAAAAGTCAATTAATCTTATTCAAACAATCTTTGCCACTTTGGCTTTTTGCTTTAAAGATTTTCTCAAAAGATTAGACTCTTGTCAATCCTTGTAGTGATGCAAACAACTATACTTCTACTATATGTAGTTAAGTAAGATATTTTCCACTTGGGTGTTGAGTGAGGTCTTGTTGATTTTAAATTCCAAGCCATATCCTCCACTTTGAGATGATACAAATTCTCCTTTCTCATGATTGTGGGTAGTAAGTATGTTTTCCACACGGACAATGACGATGATGTCTTATCTCATAAAATTAACCAACGCACTTGTGTTTTAAATATTTTAAAGAGGAACTATGTGTACCCTGATTCCCTATTGCACGGAAGGTGGTATGTAGGAACTAAAGGTTCACAACTGCGGCAGGTGTAAAAATTATAAAAATATATTTCTTTTTTCTCATCTCCACAATCCATTTTACGTACAACATTTTATAGCCAAAATATACAGATTTTTCAAAGAGGTTCTTGCGGATTACCATAGATGTTTAGGGTGCTAGTACCTTTCCTTTGCATAACCAACCCCCTTACCTATAATATTTCCCCTCTTTTGGGTTATTCGTTCTTTTCCAATTCCTTTGGAAACAATAAAGCACGGTGGCAATTTTTTTATTTTGATCTGTATAAGTCTAGTCAATCCAATGGCTTAGTCTTAAACATTTCTACCGCTACACCATGGACTCATCATCAGTATTGCTGGAAATTATACTTAAAAAGCAAAGGACAAAATTGAATTCGACATTGAAATCAAATCCACCCTTCCACTGCTAGTCAAGTGAAAGGGCGCAAAGGAACGAGGACCCTGTCCCTGGCCCGAGCCCTCACTCAAAATAGTAGAAAGAAAAATAAGGGAACTCTCCTCTGAAATATTAGGCGCCCGATTTCCAGGTTAAACCTTAGCTCTCGTGGGGAAAAATGCTCTCTAGACAAATGGTTTTCGACCTCGCCTAAGGACGCAACAAAAACGCAGGAAAACCATAACAGAAGCCCAGAAATGGCCCCAATGCAACCACAAAGTTCATCGTGATCCACTGTCACTAACCCTATGTCATACATATCTCTAACAAGCTCACGGGGGAGCCACCGTCCTCAGGTGACGAAACCACCGTCAGGTAACTGCTAAACACCCAGAATTCCCGCACTAAGCTACTCTAAACCCTAGCCACATGCATTTCTAGAAAAATAAGCAGAAATATATCCTAGAACAGAGGAAAATCCATTAAAACAATGAAAATTCGAGATACTTACTTGATTAAAAAAGATTAATGGCAGGAGAAAATAAGAACTTCGACAAAGAACAATTGTGTCGGGCAGAACTAACAGCAACAAGCAAAGAGAGAGAGGGAGAGAGAGATAGAGCAAACAAAAAGTGAAAATAAATCTCCCTCTCCACCTTTTATAAAGCAGTTTATTGGCACGTGAGCAAGCACACGCCTAGGGAACTCTAATAGGCATCATCATTGCATCCTAGTTCCTAGACTAGCCATCATTACACCTTTATGACAACACGTGTCTCGATGCAAGCACAACACGCTAACCCTTCAGGATCCAATCAACTTCTCTTCTCCTCACTAGACGGGCATACCAAGCGTCGCTCGAACTCCTTGTGCATAGTTACCCATGAAACATCTCCCGTCACGAGCATATATTAAGTCGTCACTCCTCTGATCAAAAGCAACGACTTGGGGGCTCCTGTTCTGGACTGGCCCAATGACTAGAATTGGCCCAATCCACTTCCGTCTCCAACATGGCCCAATAACTCTGGTCCATCAGCTCTGGTCCTCCGTCAGGCATACCTGATCGATTAATCCCCAAGCACAGCAACACCAACTCGCTCTGAGCCTTACACCTTCCTGTTACGGAAGCTCCCTGCTCGATCTTCTCGCTACACGTCGAGCAGACAACTAGACTAGCACTTAAAACGCGTCTGCCCGTCATCTCATCCTTTATCAGAGCAACGACTAGTTATGGGCTCGACTGCCCATTTTGACTAGGTCCTGGAAGTTACCGATTTTCAGGAACCTAATATCTAGGTCCAAAAGTAGGAATCAATTGCTACGCGCCTGGGACATTATATAAACCCTCACATGTGTAAGGGTCAGGTATCCAATATTCACACTAAAACCTTAATATCTTTTCTTGTACCTCTTTGAATCCATTCTTAGTTGATCGTTGGAGTGCCTTGCAGGTATATCCCCCTCTTCTTCTCATATTTTCAGCCAAGCAGGCGTCATCATCAAGACCAATTTTCAGGTTCTGATCTATCAGTAAGATCACCTCAATTATTGGTGGTGGGTCGAGGTGAAAGTTTTGTCATAAAATATACTATTTGTAGTAGTGTGGATGAAATTTTTTTCATTTTGTCACAAAATATTCTACTAAATTCAGTACTCCATGTTCCTAAACTTTACTATAGTTTGTTGTCCATAAGTAAACTTACAATATATTTGAAGTGTGTCACTACATTCTTCCCTAACTTGTGTAAATTTCAGTATTTAGAGTTGAGAAGGACGATTGGCAATGCTAAAGAATGTGTTGGACTTTTTATCCTTCAAGTTGAAGCGTCTAAAATATAATTGATTGCCAACTCTTGCGCAATAGTTTATATGGCTAGTGAAAATTTTGCAACGTTATGGCACTATAGACTATGCCATCCAAATTTTATTTACTCGAAAAAAATATTTCTGACATTATTTAATAAAAGTCAGAAGAAGTTTCGAAGTGAACATTTTCAATTGTCAAAACATAGACGCAACACCCATCCACCACAACTCTATAAACCCTCTTAACTATTTTTCATATTCATATCGATGTATGGAGACCAACATAGATCAACAATGTTATTGGATTAAGATGGTTTATCACCTTTATTAATAACCACATGACTCATTTGGGTCTACCTTATAAAGGGGGGGAAATTACAGTTTTGTTGGTTATTTGAAATTTTTGAAAAATCAAAATATTTGATTTTACTTTTATAATTTCACTTTTTTAGTTAAAATGATATTGTAGTGATTTTATTTCAATGTAAGGGTGTAATGTTTAATTTTAAGAATGCCAAATATAATTCTCCTACTATTTCTTGCCTTTTTTTGGGCCAATTTCTTAACTAAGAAATTGCATAAAAATCCAAATATTTCTTAATTAAAAAAAAATCCGAACACATCAATATTTAACTTTTTTATTTATTAAGAGAGTACTTTGTCAGATTATCCAATGTATAGGGGTGGAGGGTAGAATGTGTGAGATGTTTGGTATAAATTTCTATTAGTAGAGAAATTAATATGTCACTTTCTAAATTAAATTCTTTAATTTTATTTATTCTGATTTTATCTTTGATGACATATAAATAATTTTCAAACAAAATTTTTGATATAAGAGATGAAATTTTCGGTACAGAAGGAATTTTCAGTACACCTCTATTAAATTTACTGTAAGAGTAAATTTTCAGTAGTGCTTTTGATATTTCAGGTAAAAATGAAATTTCAAATTTACGTGGCATAAGGAAAATTTCAAAATTTACATGGCATTTGAACTTTCAAAAATTTCAAAAATTTCGGTATTTTGTAAAATTTCGGGAATTTTAAAAATTTCAATACAAAAGAAAAATGTTTACATCAGAAATTTTAAAATTTTCGGTACGAAAATACTGAAATTTTTGAAAATTCCGGTACAAAATACCGGAAATTCTCTATTGTCTCACTAAACTTTCGGTGTCACTTTGAAATTTTCGATATTACCACATAGATTAGAAAATTTTCAATTGATCCCAAAAAAATTTTGAATTTTTAAAAAATATTTAGGTTTGAATAATTTGATTTTTTCATATTATTTAGAAGTGCCACGTGTAAAAGAGAGATGACATGTTAATTCCTCCAATTTGTCTACTTTTAATTTGGGCCAAGAATTGAAGATGAAGCCATGAATCCTTAAAGGATTTTAGGGTTTGTTCGATCCCACACAACGGTCACAAAAGTCTGTCTATAAATAACCATTCCCGCTATCTCAACATTCATTCTCTCTCTTTACAATCAATTCTATATCTTTCTTTCAACACAACACTGTCTCTACGATTATCATTTGTGTTGTTTGCCGTAAGAAACAAGAATGTTGATTCCACTTGCACTTGTTGATGATGTTGCTATCTTGGATTTAGGTCAACAACATCCTCGTACCCACGACAACATGTTTCCTCGTACCCACGACAACATGTTACACCCTGTGTATGTTCTCTTTGATTCTCGTACCATGTCTCACTACCACCACCCAACAACAACACCACCACCACCTTGGTCTGTCAACATGTACAACAATGTCCCAAGAAGATTAATGTCTCACAACCACAACAATGTCCCAACAAGATTATTGTCTCATAACCACAACAATGTCCCAAGAAGATTAATGTCTCACAACCAGAACAATGTCCCAAGAAGATTAATGTCTCACAACCAGAACAATGTCCCAAGAAGATTAATGTCTCACAACCACAACAATCTTCCAAGAAGATTAATGTCTCACAACCGCAACAACGTTTCATCAAGATTCACTTCATCAACGAGCCACAGCAACGTTTCATCAAGATTCACTTCATCAACCGTGTCTGTGATAGATGAAACTCTTGTCTATGATTCTACTATCACCAACAACATTCCAAGAACACGCTCATTTTATCTCCACCACAACAACAATGGTACTAGAGCTTCTTCTTCCCCTGTGATCGGTGTTCAAGAACATTTTACAACATCAACAACAGATGCAGAATCCATCTGTTGCATTTGTCTTGCTCACTTGTCTAATGCTTCTTCCACGCCAATTCGGTTGCGCTGCTCTCATATATTTCACACTGAATGCATTCAGAAATGGGTTAATATCAGACAAACGTGTCCACTCTGTCGGGCGGATGTTTAGTTTTCATACATTGATACTACTACTAGTTTGCCACTGTCTTTGTGTGCAAGTCTGTTGTTTTGTCTTATTCTTTGTGTCAATACTGCAGATGTATAAGGTTATAGGTCATTAGGTTTTTCAATATTTAGAACTATGCTTCTACTTTGAAGAATGTAGACCTTTGGGTTGTATGTTATTTGAAATCCACATTTTTAAATGAAAAACTTGTCATTCTCTAAATTTTCATAGCTTAAATTTGACACTTGGTTTATTGTTTCAAACTAGGCTGTGGTTGAATGTGGGAAAGGCCGAATGAGAATTTAAAAAAGGCATTTCTTGTTAATGTTTTACTTTATTACAATTGTAGTTTGTCAAGGTTCTCCCTAAAACTGCTCTGTCTTTGTGTGCAAAACTGTTTTGTCTTATTCCTTGTATCTCAATATGTGTTACACTGCAGATGCTTAAAGTGATTTTGTTGATTTTGTTTGTTAATATTTAGAACTATGCATCCAGTTTTACAGTAGATATTTTTATGTTGTGCAGTTTAACAATAGTCTATTAGGCCAGACCTATAAAAGATTCAATTTAATATTAAAATAACAGTTTTTTTTTGTTTTCGTTCTGTCTCTATGAATTATTATGTACTTCTTTGGTTGGTTGGATAATGAAAAGTAACCGCTTTTTTGTTAGAATGGATTCTTTTCTTAGTTATTGAAAATGTATATTATACCGTGCCAAATTTCTCACTAATTGACTCTGGTAAATATCAGAACCTGATGATGAGAAACGGTTAAAGATTACTTTGCCTGGATTTGTACTCGAAGCATATGAGGTTTGTTAGGATGTATGGCATTGCTGTCAGCCCACCTGTTTATAACAGCTTGCAGAACAAGCCTAGAAATTAGTTATTCTATTCTCTTAAGCTTGCAATCAATATTTCTATTTTGGTTGGATGCAGTAATTACTAAATTTGGAGGCAACAACGTCCTAGTGGTATGGGACTTTCTGCTGTTGGCATGGCATTTTCTTGATATGTTGTTAATCCTCAACTACGTTTAGAAAAATCGTAAGTGACATGGTACAGATATATCTTATGATTTATTCATCTGTCCAAATTTAGTAATTACCTCGTATGTGTTTAAGCTACCAGTCTTGGCTATCGATGCAGGAGTTTTAGTCGCTCATTACTGCTTACCATACCTTGCAGTTGATAACCAGGACAGACCTCTGCAATAGATTCTTAAAGGTTGGTCCAATTTTATAGTATTAATAGAGTACATTGTTATTGAAATTACCTGATATATTTTACTTCAATCTACCTTGATTCTTAGAATGCTTAGGTTGGAACCATAGAGCAACCAAGGTAAAAAATCTCTACTTTTCAAGTTTTGCACAAAACATGTCAAAAACTATTTTTAAAAGCATGTGAAATCTGAATAAACTATATTTGACAGTTTACTTATACAAATCAACAGGAAGACATAACCCATACACTAATAAGAAAAACCAAATTGCTTATAACCCAATTTAAGCATGTTCAATTTCTCACAGATTCAAAAATGTCTTCTCAAATCCAACTCAAACCTATTCCTATAGTTAACAGCATACTCATGCACCTCTTTCTCACCAGCAACAGATTTTAAGAACTCTCCATCTCCTTGCAACATACTCAAAATCTAAGGTTGCTCCATTAGAGTGCATATTCACTGAAGTCTCCACCATCATCTTTTTCTCCTGAAAAAAACTTATTGAGCTTTACAAGCCAAACAGCCATGTTCAAATATTATGGGACGGAATGCAGGTGTGTGGCTTCAACTATATGAAACATAATATTTTAATATTACTACATTGTATAAAATGTGATCAAAGTTTCTTTGGTTTGTTACAGGATTTAATTACCTCGTCTGGACCACTCTTGGCTAGTGTTGCAGGAGCTTTAGGTGCTGAATACTGCTCACCATACCTTGCAGTTGACACCAGGACAGACCTCTGCTATAGAAGTTTCAAGGTTGGTTCAGTTTTATAGCATTAGTATATGATTTATCTCCATTTCATTTTCAATATTGCAATAATATTACTAGGTTCTTTATTTGTTTCTTTGTTTTATTTTTGCTGATGAATCTCTGCAGCAAGGAAAATAATGTGAATAAAGCTAATAGGGACTTGAAGTCGCCACAAAAATGTGATATTCAGAGATGAATTTTGGTAAGCGAAATTTTACAACTCATGGTCTTTTTGTTTTTTAGTAATGTTGCAGTGTCCAAGATTATTTAAGTAACTAGTGAACAACTTACAATATTGTGTTTGCTGCTATCTCGTTTCTCTCATAATACTTATCATGGTACTTGTTTCCTGATATCACATTGGTAAGATTGTGGGAAGGGCTGAATGACAATTAATGTTTTACTTTATTTCAATTGTTGTCAGTTAAGGAAGGTCGTTTCCGCGTGGAATGCTTAGGTTGGATGTAATATCTTGATTAAAAGAGTACTTTGTTATTGAAATTAACTTATATATTTTACTTCAATCTATCTTGATTCATAGAATGCTTAGGTCTAACTAAAGAAAGTGTATGTGGTGATATCTACAGAAATGGCATACTTGGATTTAAGATGTACTGCTATCAATGAGTTGCAATCAAGAAATGGTAATCTTATGAATTTAGAGCCGAGTAGCTGTGGGCACCTATGTAGTCATATGAACTTGGAGCTGAGTAGCTTTGGGCACCTTAGATATCTTCCAAATGAGTTTTCAAGCTTCAAACCTCTGTTTTGTTTCTGCATGGTGGCGCGGTTCAAACGAATGTCTACTTCACTACTTCAAAGATACAGGCTGTAGCATCTCTAAAGTCGTTAAGAATGATATTTTCTTGCCACCAAGAGGAAGATTAACCAATGGAGCCGAATTTTCATTGAGATGAACATAGATCATATTATGTGAAGGATCTGTGAGAATGTAAATCACAGGAACTTGCACTGGTTGCGGTTGATTTCTCATCAGCGTTGAAGATGAAGAATGATTAGAGCTCAAGGCTCATGTTACAAGAGTGAAGCTAGATTGTCACTAACTTCTATGATCGGTTAACTAATTGCAACAAACAACTAATTAGACTAACTAACTTGTAAGAATTGGTTAGAGTGCATAGCTTGTGTTGTAAGTAACTGAATCCTGTGATAAAGCCAGCTATATTTATTGCATTTCATCTCAACAAACATGGTCTTCAAAATTTGACGAGGTTGCTTGTGCATGTTTTGGAGTGTTGTCTAATGGCTCCACAGTATCCAACCTTGCTCTCTTGTATTTCACCAAAATTGCAATAAAAAACAGCTCAGCGTTAGGAGGACAAAAGCATGTCACATGAGTATTTGGTTAGCTTTGAATTGTATTGGTGTGATATAGCTTTTTTATAGACACATATTATGGCTCTTTCTCCTTATTCTGGTTTTTGGTACACGTGTCTCTTTTCTTTATTGGATGTGAAATGTTATATGTGATCCAATAAGGCTGTATATAGACTTGGCTGCAATCCATAGCAGATTTTGCTGAATGCGAATATTTCGATGGCTCTAAAGAAGTTGTAGTATATAAGAACTTCATTTTGGTGTCTTGGGTTAGGTTGTTTTTTATTTTCCTTTTTTAGTTGCACTAAAATTTACTACTATTTTTCATTAATATTCACACATTTTACTAGGTGGCAAACGAAATGTTTCTCTCGTAAAATCGCAAATTAAAAATGGGGCGGAACACACATAATAGAGAGGCCGGGTTGTTGGAAATCTTGATTTGCCCTGCCCGCAGGCCTTACAACTATAAACTCTTAATTTTTTTCAAAAAGTTTGGCAAAAAAAACAGAGTAGGAATGGACATAGTAGAGGGCTTCTGACATTAAAGCTTAGCTCACAACAACAATAATAAAGTCTTACTATTAACTTATTAAGTGAAGTCGACTAAGAGAACCGCTAAGAGAGCCGTTACTGCTCGACCTGAGTCACAACCCGTCAAGACAGAAGAACAAAGAGCTCCACCCTACCATCGGATGCCCGCAAAACAAGAAAGGTTGAGGAAGACACCCTACCATCGGATGAAATGGACCCCATCCAAATAGCCTGCTCCGTTACAAGGCCTGGGGACTTTTACGTCCCCGACAGACACGAAGAAGAACCTTTATCCATGCATAGTAGGTGATAAAGATTCTTCTCTGCCATGTTTATAACTGGCGGGGGTTCAACGACATCTCCATAAACTCCACAAAAAGGAAGCTCGACGAGTTGGTCTACGCAGCCCCGACTCAAGCGGTGACATTCGAGAAGGGAAAGGGAAAATCAGAGCCAATCACATTCTACCTCAAATAGTTGCCCGGAGGGGACCCTAACTCTAGCATCCCTCTTCTGGTAAGGGCACAAATGTCTAATTTCGACGTTCACCGCGTCTTGGTCAACGAAGGGAGTTCCGTCGACGTTATGTACATTCATCTCTTCCGAACCTTACAGTTGGACGACACCCACCTTTCACCATATGTGGGGTCCGACCTGCAAGGCTTCAATGGCTCGACCTCCAAACCATGGGAGTATGTGGAGCTCTTCGTCACCTTCGGGGAGGAAACCACCGCCCGGCAGGTCAATGTGCGATTTCTGGTCATCAACTTCCCATCTCTCTACAATTGCATCCTAGGGAGACCAACGTTGGCTGAACTGACCGTTGTCCCCTCCACCGTCCACCTAAAGATGAAATTCTACACGAAGAGGGGACGCGTCGCCACCATCTATGATGACATGCCAGCTGCTCGAAGATGTTTCAAAGCTGCTTTAAAGGGACATAGTACGGTCGAAACCAGGGCACAACCCGCTAAGAGAGTCGTTACTGCTCGACCTAAGCCATAGCCTGTCAAGACAGAAGAACAAAGAACTCCACCCAAGGTCGAATCCATCTCGCTTGACACCCGCTTCGACGAGGATGAAGCACCCAACGACAAACAGAAACTCCTCCAACCAATCCCGGACGGAGACTTCGAGTTCGTTCCC